TGCCTGAGGCCCATGCCGAACAACAAACTGCAACCTTCTGAAGCAAGCTGTGATTTGCAAGACAGACCAAGCTGCAAGCCTGCAAGCCTGCAAGACGGTGCAAACAACACAGTTCACACACAGCATGGGCCCACTGTTTTGACACTGGCCAATTCTGTTTGTGCAAAGCAGAGCAGACTGCAGAAGAAGAAAAAACAGGAGCCAGTTGCTTAACAAATGAACACATGTTGCCACCCTTGATAGAGATGAGCCTCGATTAGCATGTGACACACGCAATTGTTGCCTCAATTTTCGCTGGCTACATGGCGACCCACCAAGCAGTGCACATGACACATCCATCGACCGCTTTAACTTAATTGCTTTTGTCTGAGAACTGCACCAACCCCACTGCAGCTGGACCTGGCCAGGCGGAACGGATGGGGGATAACACGCGCAAAGGGGGCCACATGGCAAACGATCTTGACAGCCTTGTGCAGAGCTACATTGTTGCAACCTGTCATTTGTACACCTTGTTAGCTAAGTCTAAGGTGACCCAGGGCACTCGTCATGTGTCTGTGTCAGAGGCAACTGCCCAAGTAGTACTATATAATACCAGACTGTATTTTTTCATTGCGCCACATGGTCACATGATGTGGCTCAAAAACTGACCTGCCAAGATCGCCTTCAGCCTGACAGCGCTTCATGCCACAGTGCCAATCTGGCCCGACGATCCATCAGCACTTGCTGCTGGCTCTGCCGGCACAAGAAAGAAGCCGCTTTGCTTGAAGGCGCTCTCGCCATCTGCACCTGTCTGCGGGATAATGAGGAGTTTGTTTTGTGCTACAGGCTGGCTGCATGAGTGGCGCATACAGCGCGCTAACACAAGCACAAGTGCAAATGCGCCTATTTGCCACACATCCTCCCCAGTAGAACTTGCCAGACACTGGGGCAACAACATCAAAGCATACATCCTGCAAGCGCAGATGAAAACAATTGTTGTTCTGACCAACTTCTACAAAAGGAACATCACACCCACACTGCCACATGCACAACGCTTGCCTTGCAAAAGTCAGCTCCTGCAGGTTCAAGAGGGCAACCAGCTGTGGGCCAGTGAGAGGCCCGGAGATGATTCGACATGAACGTCTTTGTTTGTTGCCAAAGGTGCCTGACAAATTAACAAGGGCAAACTGAACTCTTGGCCGCACCAAACTACAAAGCACAAACAGCGCAAGGGACCCAGCGAGCTTAAGAAAGCACTGACTGAGGCATGAGGTATCACACAACCAGCCAAACAGAGATTCACTTACTCGGTGGTGTGCCCTTGCAATTCGCAGAAGTGACAAAGTTTGCAAATGGCAGCTGCGCGGCACCAGTGTCGAACTTGCATCGATCTTATCCATGAACACTTTCATGCCACCGTCCATGCTTAGTTGCACACATTAATTTGCGAGAGAGATTTCAATCAATGCGTGTTCAAGCAACTCCTATTGCGACTGTTGCGCAGTGGATGAGCTAAGTGCGTTTCCGAGTGACTTTGTGGCAGCCAGCCACCATGTTCTAACTGCCATGTTGCTTGTTGCTTAGTGGCAACCAAGTCACTGAACAGCTCCCTCTGGAAAATCTTCCATCTCTGACAGGCGCCTGGTCAGACCTGCAAGCCTTGGCATGTTGTGTGCATATGTGTGTGTGTGCAATATGTCATTATATCTTCTTTCTCAAAAAACGGAATTATCTTTTCAGTGCAAAAGACTATGTCTGCTACTAGGGCTGTCTGGGACTGGCGCATGTCAAGCAACTGTCAAGTGTGTCATACTCCCCACAGTACTGAGGCTGCCACTTGTCAAGCTTTGCCACAAAGCTCCCACTGCGCTCAATCTGGGCCTTCAGCAAGGACTCCATGTAGAGCACTGAATCTTCAACTGTGTCCCCACCACCCCCCGCCCCAGCAACCACACCAGCTGCAGTCGCATCAAAAGCCCCAGCAAAAGTCGGACAAACACCAGCATGCAGCGGCAAGGGAGGCATGACTCCACAGCAAACTCAAATGACAACTGGTCAAGAGCCAAGCAGCTGCATCACCATGTGATCAAGGGTGCCAACCACAAGTCAATTGCCATTTAGCTCAAGCTTGCAAAGCAACAAACAGCAAACATGCCTGAGACACGCCTGTGCCGGCATCAGATCTTGTTGACAGCCAGGTCAGGCGAAGTGGCGCAGGACATGTTGCCCTAAAAGTGTGTTGTGGAGCATGTGAGCATATCAAGATTTACGTGGCAAGTAGAACTATAGCTTACATCAAAGAACCAACAGGATAAGCAAGAGTCGCAGGGCGAGACATGCGTGCAATGATACTGTGAAGATTGCGCGACATATCACAACACCTACCTTTGCTGGATTTGACAAGCGCAAAGTAAAGTACATTAAAGTATGTTTTCTTGACCGTGCGTGCCACCACATGTGTGCAATGAAAGTAAGTTGACTTCAGGTAAACACCACATGCACAAAATTGTTCTTATCTGTA